ATTACCATTAAAACACAAATTGTCAACATCACATGTCAAAATACAGAGACAAAGTGGGGGAGGTGATAGCTTTTATTGGACCAACTTCTGTTGGTGAAAGAGACACGCTTTCGAGCTTACACAGAGCTCTTCTTCTTGAAAGCGTGTCTCTCTCACCAACAGAAGTTGGCCCAATAAAAGCTATCACCTCCCCCACCTTGTCTCTCTGATATCCTCGGTCCAAAATGACTACAAACAACGCTGCAAACAAAATATACCAAGTAGATACCTTAAATCAAACTCTAAGAAGTTCTCACACAACATTTTTCTTACTTTGCCTATCTGCACATTTCAATCATCAACGGAATTTTTTCCCAGTTTCTGCGTGTACAGTGAAATCGACATTTACCAACATAAAACTACTCCTTCCAAGTCTATTCAGACTGCAAACTCTTTATGGCAGAAACTGTCTCGTTCAGTGTGCCAGGCACTGTACAAGCACCGTGAAGGAGCCCTGATCACATTCGGGAATTCTATTAGGACACAAATAACATCGGAAGATGAGGGTTAACACACCCGCTTGGTTTCCTTCACAGTATGGCACAGGTTAAAGGAATTTAACCCAAACTGGCTTTATAATCCCTTTGCAATTGCCTCTGTGTGCAGACAGTAATGCGTACTCTGATTGATTTTCAACAAATCATGTGGCAGCAAATCATGTGGCCCAGCTCCAAGACGGGTTAGTAATAAGAACAATTGGTGTCTACATGACAAGCAGAAAAATTCTATCACCCTCAGGTGGTGTGGATCATGGGTTCAAGAAACTGTGTGACTTCCTTGTCACATGGACACATTCATATGGTAGTGACTAGTTTGGGAGGAAACTAGAACGTCGATGCCAACCCCTAACGAGATGCCATAATCAATACCTCACTCCTCTATAGCTCTTTTCAACATAAATGCCCTGCCCAGAAAAATCCAGCCTCCTTTGATTCTTTCAGATTCTTACTTTGTTGATATGTAAT